TACATCAAGTGCAAGGATTATTATAGTGCATGTATTTCCACTACTGATAACGTTGCAACATCATTCACAAACATATACCTGACTACTTATCTTATAATTCTTCTCATGCCATAGCTTGGTGCGACAGGAAAGCTTGCTTCGATACAAAGAAAAACATAACTTGCACAATCTATAATATTTATGAGGAGTTTTAAACTTCTCTAATTTGCAATTGTGAAAATTAATTCTGCTTCCTGTCTCTTTGAATGGCAGTAATGTGGGGCAAAGGGCAGAGGTCAGCAGCGCAATATATTAGCCGTGTGTTGCTCTGAAAATCAACCTCCAATGCAAAAGTGAAATAGCTGTCAAACTCTTCAGATCTTTAGTTCCCACCTATGAATGCAGGAGATGTCATTGTGAGACACTGCGGGTTTAAATATGGTTCACACGAGTCAATTGGCAGGTGACGAACACCTTACATAGATAATAAATAAATAATCCTTGTGATTTGACATAGCGCCTTTCACGTCGAGAGGCTGTCACAAAATGTTTCACAGGATTTCCTGTAAAGCGTAATGATTGTATTTGGTAGGCAAATGCGGCAGCCAATTTGCACACAGTAATGTCCCATAAGCAACCGTGATGTGCACTGACCAATTTATGTATATGTACAGGTGCAAGCAAGCTGGAAGTTACAGCCTTGGCAATTTATGTCCTGCCAATTAATGTATCTACCCAACATTCAAACAAACTGAAAAATGTTGACACTCCATCCCTCAGTTTCAATGTAAAGTCACCATATCTCCATAGGTACGGCCTATTCAATCTTGAGATTGTAATTACCTCGGCACAAGACTTCGATACACATGCAAGCACTGTTTTAAAACAAGCTCAAGACACAAGAAATCTAGCCATTTCAACAGAGGAGAATGTTTCAGATATCATACTGTATATATGTATTTTAAGCAGACACAAAATATACAGAAAAGCTATTGAAAACAGATGTGAATAGCACCAAATCTGACATGTCTCTCGTAGTTACATTCCTTGTTTTGTTTTACTTGAGCAGTACAATTAAGTGAATGTTCAAAGCAAGAATTCAAGTCTGTTGTACCCCCAGGATACAGGTGTTCATTAATCTATAATTACTTCTTGTGGGGCTAACACACAACTGTAATTATTACAGTTAATTCTTGTTTAGTGAATAACCCGCTTGTCACCACAAATAGTTGCCTCATGGTCCATTAGAAGAACATTCAAGTTCCTGGGCTGGAAAGCATCAAGCGCTACAATCTGCAACACATGTCTTTATAACTTTATAATAAACTTTTTCTTCGTCTCTGGAGCTTACTGGGTCTGCGGAGCTATGAAATAAATCTTACGTGGTTCCACATGACAATAACATAAACACTAGCTCCGTGCAAAGAGGCATCTCGCTCCAAAAACACGTACGTGCGTGGGATTCTTTATATACATACATGCCTCGAGGGCAATCTTGGAGCTTACTGAACCACTGAAGGCTTTAAAGAGTCCAAATGATTCCTGTAAAGTTCACGAAAATCTGAAATTGACCTGTTCAGCCACTAGTCTAGGATCTGGCTGTCAGTAGAGCCCCGCAGGACAGCCCTGACATTAGTATAGACTCTGGATTCAGGGCTACATTCTGACACAGTCATATTGTTGTAAAAGAAAATAAAACAGTATGTTGTTGACCCACTTACTAGCACTTAAAACAATCTGAAGATGTTACTCGTCAATGGAGAAAAAAAAAACACTCATCTAATGCAGTAACTGTACAGCTCAAAAACTCATTTTTAAATTGTTCCCGTTCAGCTATCGCTTGCTGTTATGAAACGCAATGACAACAAGAATTGGGCAGCGGTATGACAAAGAATTATCCTCCCAAGTCATTGAAACTAGTTCCTGCCTTAAGTTTAAAATGGAGTTAAACTGATCCTTTTGATCAGAAAATGCAACACAGAATTTTTAAAAATAAAATCCTGCTGCTTTTTTTTACAAAATCCCTGCAAAGCAGGACTAAGCTTCCAGAATTACTCTCTCTGATATTTTTTAATTGTCTAGACTTATAATTCTATTCTTTAGAGATTTTACAAATCTGACAGGATTGTCGGGACATATTTTCTTACACCAGTCATTCATTCGGTCACCTCAACATATGCCACAGGCGTGATGGGCTGAATGACCTCCGGTGCCGCCAATTTCTATGTCCCGGATGAAAACACGTTATGTTAGCGGAGAACAAAGACAAATTAAGAAGATTATTTGCGTGGTAAGGCACGCTGTGGGAAAACGTTAAGCCAGAAATGTTTGTTGTTAAACCAGAGTGAAGTACAAAAATAAATTCTAAGCTGCCTGACATTTAATATTATACGGTACCTTGTTTGATTTTATTTTTGCTCTTAATACATAGTTATTTGTTGGGTTGCGAAATGTATCCTTTTATCTTTGCTCTTAATCAATAGTTATTTGTTTGGTTGCGAACTGTATCCTTTTATTTTTGCTCTTAATCAATTGTTATTTGTTTGGCTGCGAAATGTATCCTTTCATTTTTTTTTCCGCTCTCAATCAATAGTTATTTGTTGGGTTCCAAAATGTATCCTTCTAAGTTTTACTTAAAAATCCCGCAAGTGGGAAAAGAGGGGGACGAGACACCGAATTTGGAGGAGATGGGCCACGGAGATGATTTTACGCCGCACACATTGTGGAATCCCAGTCGGTGGACTTCACCAAGTGCCAAAACCACGCTTGAAAACTCGTCAAACTTTCGCATTCTGAAAGCATACTGCGGACCAAGCCTTGTACGAATTCCCCCCGGTTGGCAGCCGTGTCAAATATCGAGAGTGACAGCCGCACGGAGAGATTGCGGCGAGGTGGGTTTCGGGGAGGAACGGAAAATGTCCCTTTAAAAAGAGTCCAACCCGATTCAAAGTTTTCGTGAGACGCACGACTGTGACTTGATTTTTTTTGTCTCTCTGCGCCCCCCTCCCTCCTCCCCCTTTTCCCTCTCCCCTTCCACACATTGTTGAACTTATTATATCACGTCTGTCAGCCCACATCTCCTCGCCCCTTCCTGTTCCTGCCAGGTAATCAATTCGTCGTCACTCTTGGTAATCCCAGTAAAGTCATCAGTGAAATGAGTTACAGCTGTGAAACCATCAGGAAGAGGAACAGCCAAGAATATTCTGCTGATAGCACATCGAGGTCTCAAAGATGAAATATTAATGCACGATTTGTTTATCTGCAAGCGTACATCTACCAGCACTGAGCTGTTAATTTTCTATCTGTGCAGACAACAGATCACTCAGTCATGAACTCTTCACAGCCATTACACAGAGACATTTTGATTAAGTATGCCTAATGTAGTGTATAGGAAAGAATGAAAACACTCAGCCTGCCAACTTTTGATTGACCATTAAGCCACTGATGAATGTGCCTGTCAAGGGAGAGACAATTACCTCAACAATGAAGAAAGTCTTCTGGAGGGTTATTTCTATAGCACTGACACATTTACCAGATTACAGCCATGCAAGTTGAAAGCGTGTAAACTAATAGCTAAGATTTCTTCATAATGTATTCATCCCCGTCTCCTTAAAGGAAAGGAAATCAGGGGGGAAAAAAAAACACATACACACACACACATTTTTTGTGAAAAAAAAACCCTAAACAACAAAATAATTGTGCATGTCTGGGCAAGGAAATGACAGGGGCAGGCGTTACGTCAACAGCACATGTGTTGCCATAGTGAGTGATTTATTGATATTTATCGAGAATGAATAGATCAAAGCCTCCAAGATGACAGGTGATCAATCACGCGTCAAATCAAAGATGGCAATCGACTTTAAGACCAGTTAAGTGGGTGGATCCGGCAGATGAAAAATGAACTTTTATTTCTGTGGCCCACATCACCAAATATCACAACTCTCAGGAGAGAGAGAAATGTTTAAGCAGGCAATTTATTTCACAGATTGGATTTTTTCCTTTTTTTTTATATGAGAGAGAGAGAGAGAGAGAGAAGGGGGTGGGGGTGGGGGAGGAAGGAGAGGGGGAAGGAGTGAAACTCATTTCAGACAGAGTTGCAATTACACAGATGCACAAAGTTAGGGCACTCACAGTTGTAGTTTCAGGGTTTTTTTTAAAAAAAAACAAATTGCAGTGGAGTGTGTGTGTATGGGGGAGAGAGAGAGAGAGAGAGAGAGTGTGAGTGCACTCTCTTCAAAGAATATTCACCCTATATTTTTTTACACACACACACACAAACACAGCACATTTAAACCCAAATTTGATTACCAAACAAGAGCAGTACAAGTGCAAATCCCCTGCCCTGCAAACACTGTGTCAGATTACAGTAAAATAGTGGAAACACACATTCATCTTTCGCAGTGAGTGGATTCAGCTCTACTGACAAGAGGATAAAACGTAGGAGGGTTTACAATGCATGAACTACAGTCAGAATAGATACACCGCTATTTAACCATGAAAGGAGAGGGAGGGAAGGAGAGAGAGAGAGAGAAAGAGGAGTGTGTGTGTGTGTGGGGGGGGGGGAACACATATATAAACATGACTAAAAGCAAACTTTACATTTCCTTGGGGGGGGAATGTCTCACTCTCCCCCTCCCCCCACTCCCCACTCCCCAGGCAACATTTCTCTTTTGATCCCACCTTTCTTTTCTTTTTTAAAAAAAATCCAGGGGGGAAAAAAGAAAATTTTTTTTTTTGGGGGGGGGAGGGAGGGGACAAGAGAGTGAGTGAGAGAGAGAGAGAGAGAAAAAAAGAAAAGAGAGAAAGGGGGAATGAGTTGAGTTGCTGGTTAGTTAGTTAGATAGTTAGTTAGTTTCCACCCCACACCCACCCCACCCCCACACCCCACACACACACACACACAGACACACAAAATAAAAAGCAATGATGGAGAGAGATAGAGAGAAAGAGAAAGAGGGAGAGAAAGCATTGCAATTGCAATTGACAAGACAATTTGGATCAAACAGAAGTTGTGTGTTTACCTGCAGCCCGTTTAGGTGCTTCCTGCTTCCTTCGAGGCATCTTGTAAGACTTTCAAGTTGACTTTTTTTTCTTCTCTCCCCCTCCCCTCCCCTCCCCTCCTCCTCAGGTGTGTATGAGGTTGGCTTTGGAGTGTGGTGGTGATGGTGGGGAGGGGGGGAGAGAGAGAGAGAGAGAAAGAGAGAGGGGTGGGGGGGGGGAGAGGAATGAAGGGAAAGGAAGGAGGGAGAGGGGATTGGAAGGAGAGAGAGAGAGAGAGAGAGAAGGATAGAGGGGAGACAGAGTGCTGGGTACAAATTGTGGGGTGCAAGTCCAGCTGTGTGTGTGTGTGTGTGTGCAAATATATACTACATATGTTCTGTATGATATGACATGTGTGTGTGTGTGAGTGAGTGAGTGTGTTTGCCACTTGGGGGGGAGATGACTGCTGAGGATTTGCAAAGGGGAAGGAAGGAAAGAGGGAGGGAGGGAGAGAGAGAGAGAGAGAGAGAGAGGGGGGGTGGGGTGGTGGGGGAGAAAGGGGGAAAGGAGGAAAGGAAAAAAAGGGGGGGGGGGCGAGCTCCCCCACTGGATGATCTCAGGTCGGTTTTACTGCTCTCTGTGTGTGTGTGTGTGTGTCTCTCTCTCCCTGTGTGTCTCCCTGTGTGTCTCCCCCCCCCCACCCACCCACCCCCTCCCCAGCTGGAGCTTCAATGCTGCTGTGGCTCTCTCAGTCGGTTGGGTTGGGTGGTCTCTCGGTGGCTTTGGCAGCCTCTCTCTCTCTCTATCTCCCTCTCTCTCTCTCTCTCTCCCTCTCTCTTTTTTTTCCTCGGGAGGGACTGACTGTTGGGCTCAGTCTCACTAACACAGACACGGGTAAGCGATGGAAGGAAGCATCGATCTCCTCCCTCCCTCCCTCCCTCCCTCCTTCCCTTCCTCCCTCCTCTTCTCCCCCTCCTGCTCCTCCTTCTGGCAAAGTCAAATGCAATCTATAACAGCCTCATCCCTTTGGCACTCACTCACACACACACACAACACACACACACACACACGTTAGACAGCAGCTGAGAGGGAATGGGGATGGAGAGGGGGAGGATGGAGTGATGTGGGGTGAATGATAAGAGAGGAGAGGAAGGGGTTGGGGGGAGGGAGGGAGGGAGAGAGAGAGAGAGAAGAGAGAGAGAGAACGAGAGAGAGAGAGAGAGAGAGAGAAGAAAAAAGGGGGAAATTGATGCATCAATAAGAAGGCATTGACTTCTCTGCAAAAGATGATACAGATCAATGTGGATGGGGGTGGGGGAGGGGGTGGGGGAGGGGGTGGGGGTGGTGGGGGGCAAAAAAAAAAATCATGCACATTATTTCTCACCAGGATAAAACAAGTGGGTTGCAGTCTGCACACACGTACACACACGTATGAAAAATTCCGCGACCGTATGTGCTGCGACACGTATGTATTTACACGCGCGACAACGCTGCACATTCATTCATTAATTACAGTGCGTGAAAATCTGCCACAAAAGTCTTTTTTCCAACAACGCTATCAATGATCGCGGAAACTTCTCGTCGGGGCTTCTGATCCGTTTCGAATGGCACTCAGTAAGAGAACAGCACTAATAATCTTAAGGGTAGTAGTGATAATCAATCCTTGCAATTGCTGTGAACGCCCCCACACACACACACACACACAAAGGTTAGATCTGTGTGTCCCCCCAATTAATTGCCCCCCTATATAAAAAAAAAGCGAGTCGATGGGGTGTCACTGAAGGACGAGCACCGAAACACTTGAACCCCAACGCAAACGTTGTGCATCGTCCATTCAGAGCCGCAATTCACACTCGGTGGGTTTTAATGCATAGTTTGATTTGCAATCTTTTCCCCCAATACTACGCCTCTCGACAACAAAAGGCACCGCATCCAAACGATCTCTGCCACGAACCACACGAAACGTTAAACCCCCCCAAAAAAAACACACTACACACACACACACACACACACACAGCGAAAGAAAGACGTCGCAGGTATTTTGCAAAGCGCAGCAAAAAAAAAAAAAGTGTTGGGGATTTTATGGACATTAAATGAATCGGTAAAACAAAAGAGGCTGTTTGCACCCCCTCCAACAAGTACTTTTTTTTTTTCTCTTCCCCCCCCCCCCCCCTCCTCCTGAAAGCTGATGCTCTCGTCGGAGATGATTCGACTGCGTTCGTTAACGCGTGCGAATGCGAACGCGCGTTCACCCGAAAGTTCAGCGCAAAATCGGGTGCAGGTAGCAATCCCGTGTGCACACGTCCTGTCGTCGGTTTAAACACTCCGCTCACACACAGGTTTCACGTGCAATGGGCTAAAATAAACGTTTCGCCAGTGTCCCACGCAAATGATCCCCAGAGAGAGAGAGAGAGAGAGAGGGAAAAAAAAATGACTAAAATGCGCTTCAACGTGCAATCGAATCGGTTGAGAGGGGTTAAAAAAAAAGGTGAGCAAAGTCGAGACATTTTGAGGCATGTGGGTTGGGAAAAAAAATCACACATGATGGGGAAAAGTCACACACACACACACACACACACACACACACACAGTGGGACGTATGTTTAGCACTGAATAAATGAGACTGAATAAAGCAAATCAGGTATAAAAGTCATTGCTGCTTAATATTATTATATATATTATTATTATAATATTGCAAAACAATGCAGAAAACAATTTTCGATACACTTAATAATTCATAAGGATCTTAGGCTCTTTTTTTTGGGGGGTGGGGGGGGGGGGGGAGGGAGGACCACGACGATTAAACTCACTTGGAACTTTTTTTAAAAAAAGGCTTAAAAAAAAATCCTTCTAAATAAAATCAAAATAAATGAAACTTAAAAAAGTTTCAGTCTTGTGTTGGGAAAGTTATTTCAGATGAATCTTCTCTCTTTCTCTCTCTCTCTCTCTCTTTCTCTCTCTCTCTCAACCCCACAACCCCTTCCTCCTCACACCGAGGGATTAAATGCAGAAGAGGATTCCAAAAAAAGTTCAAACAAAACTTGAAACGGTTTAAAGTTTCAGTAACACGTAAAAAAAGGAATCGCAACACTTCCTAACCAACGATGCAAAAAAAAAAACACCCGCCAGGGAAGCGATGGGTAAAAAAAAAAGATGTCCTGGTGAGTGGATGTGAGATTTTTTTTAAAAAAATATATATTATTGTATATTTTTTTAAAAATTCCCAAATCCTGGTAAATACAGTGGGTGCCATCTAACCTGTGCTCCACACATTTGGTGTCATCCAACTTTAATGCACCAGTTGGGTGTTTTTTTTTAAGAAAAAAGGCTGTGAAATCAGGCAGGAAAAGCAGGATTTGGAAACAGCTCCACTCGCGGAGGCAAAACCCAATAAAGTTGTGAGCTGTTACACAGACAGACAGACAGACACACAGACACACACACAGACAGACAGACAGACACACAGACACACACACACAGACACAGACAGACAGACACACACAGACACACACAGACACAGACACAGACAGACACACACACACACACACACACACACACAGACAGACACACACACACACACACAGACACACACACAGACAGACAGACACACACACACACACACACACACAGACACACACACACACAGACACACACACAGACAGACACACACAGACACAAACAGACACAAACACACAGACACAGACAGACAGACACACACACACACACACACAGACAGACACACACACACACAGACACACACACAGACAGACAGATACAGACACAGACAGACACACACACACACACACACAGACACAGACACACACACTCAGACAGACAGACACACACAGACACACACACAGACAGACACACACACACACAGACAGACAGACACACACAGACACAGACAGACACACAAAGACACAGACACACACACACACAGACGCAGTGTCAATGCGGCTCAGATGATGAGTAAAGTGGTTACTACCCTTTAGGGCTCTGATGGATGAGCGGATTGTGTCCTTAATCACGAATGGAAACGTGTTCCGAAGCCTTTTTTTTGGGGGGGAGTGGGTGGGGACCTGAGCAGGTTGTTTGGGAGTGAAATGTCACTCGGCTGTTCTGGTTGATAAGTCAACTCACGCCCAATGATTCCGATTTTTTAAATGTATTGATTACATATATATATATATTTTAAAAATAGATGATTTATGATTGCATTGCAATATTCCAGGAGATACTTTGCATCGTGCAAACCTCTCCTCCCTTTGGAGCTGACAACTTCAGTGGAATGGAAGCTGCTTTGCTCAGTAGTTGCAAAATCTGTTGCTCCAGGATGGCAATGGATCACTGGAAATCTCTGACATCCACCCCAACCTCACCACACCCCCCCCCCCCCCTCCCCCACCAACTCAACCCCTCTCTCAACCCCTCTTCGATTAGTGATTGGATTCTGAGCATCAGAGTCACTGTAATCTAATCAATTTAATCAGCCAGGCACGACCCACCAAAACATGGGTTAAAGTGTGGTGTGGGGGGGGGTGTGGGTGGGGGGGGGGGGGGGTGTGGGGGGGGGGGGGAGAAGAAAACCTCTATTATAGTCAAACGAAATGACATAACAGCAAGAAAGCAGAAACTTGCAACACCACCAATTTGGTCTCTGTCGATCATATATATATATATATATATATATATACACACACACACCTTCCTCCCCCATGAAACAGCCTTTCAAATCAATAATAAGACAACTTATTCATACAGCATTGATACCCCCCCCCCTCCCCACCATCACCACCCATCTCTCCCCCTCGTCTGCATCTTACATCAATGAAAGCACATGTGCTATCTTTGCCATAGTCAGAATGTAACACTATAATTACACAATTTCTGCCTTAACATCCCCTCCCCTTTCTTTTCTCTCTCTCTCTCTCCCTCCCCCACTCCCTCCCCCTCTCAATCTGTTGATAACAATCCCCTTGTAAAAGTCCTGGTAACCAGACTCCTTGGCACACTGCCTTCGAAACCTAACCTGCAAAAGCAAATATACCGATCGTAACGATTTTGTTCGATTCCAAGCTCACCTCCTAACCCAGAGACGCCAATCACAGTTCTCTTATCCCAAACAGGGTTCTA